AACAAGGGTGCTCCGCTTCGATGTTTGACTTGGCCAAACTTATGGGTGGATTTTTCTATATCCCTCCCCACCTCGCTGTCCCTGATTCCCTTGCTCCAAGATGCATGCTTATGCTGTGCATTATCTGAATACCCGTGTTCCTGGAAGAGCAGTTCTGGAACAGACCAGATTGTCCAATTCCAGACAAATTCTTTCCATCTCTGTAGGAACAGTGACAAAGTTTTTCCATTTCTGGTTTAATTTTTTTTCCATTTATTTATCAAAACAGTGCAGTCCAGTGTAATTGAATGTGGCTAAGGGCAAGGAATTAGCATTCACATTTACAGAATTTGGCTTGGTGAATGTCAGTTGTGGGAAAAGAGGGAGAACTAACAGTTCTGGAGAATCAGGGACTCCTCCCTCTTTTCTCAGCATGGCACCCAGTTTCAGTAGCACTTAATTGTGAGCACGCAGAGAGAACGCTGTGCTGCTGCTGCCTGGGGTGCTTGCTGTGCCTGAATACACTTAGCATTGAACAAGGTGTGGCCTGCCATTCTGTTGATATTGGTGTAGTATTTTCCAGGGATCAACGAGCTCTGCTTATTGTTATCAATACGTTATGTGAACGGTACAATTTTCTTATTGCTGTCCAACCTCTCTCACAAAACAAGAATACATCTGGTTTGTATTGCGAAACTCTTCCTTGACCTTACTCAGGATGGCCGCGGGCATGTAACCACTCAAATTATGATAATAGAGATTGCACTTTTTAGGCATTTTTCAATATGTGTTTCTTGGGGAGCTATGGGAGAGAGTTCACTGAACTGCAAGATGCCTATGCATACAGCTCTGCTGTCTTTTATTTTCACTGGACTGTATGGAAGTGATTATTTAGTGACTCTCAGAGCTATGCATGTTTTTTGGAAGTATTTAAGACGTACTAAGTGGTATGAAGCCAGCAGTCTCACTCGATCGCATTGTCTGTCTACCAACTCCTATTGTTGGCTCCAGGAAAATGCTGTCAGATGCTGCTAGCCAGGCTGGGCCCTAGCCTGTTACTGCAGCGCCTGTCAGAAATCATTAGCTAGTGATGTCTTTGACTAATGTTCCAGCTGATTGTCTGATTCATGTTCAAGATCTGTAAATGAGGCAGAAGCATCTTTACTGCTCGCCAGCTGTGAAATGGCTAAACACAGCTAGATTTTCAGAAATCAAAATAAATGTATTTCCAATAAAGTTTGACAACAATATCAAGTGCAAAGCTGAGAGTAGAAGTATGGGTTTGTGTTTTTTTAAAGATACAGTATTATAAACCAATATTATTCCATCATGTTGTTGTCAGAGTAATGTATTTTACCAAAATAATGAAGTACTGGTAGTAGCATTTATCTTGAGTTGGATAGACGTTCTTTATTCAACATAAATTCATACCTTCGATTTTTACTCTTTTGTTCATTATCCCCAAATGTATCAATGTTTAGCACAGCCTATGTCCTTTTGTCTGAGTCCCTGATGTATGCCAATGAGGTGTGTACATGTTTTTATTTATGTATAAAAGAAGTACAGGTGTGATAACGTTAAAAAATAAAGGGTGGGATTCTGGGGAGGGGGAGTCTTGAGGGAGGAGCTGGTGTATCTGGTTTATATTAATGGAATAACCCCAGGAGGGTCGTTGCACTGGCATAATGCTGAGATAACCGAGAAGCAAATCTGGGCCTGAGATCTGACTACTATTTTATTTGGCAAAGGAGGTAAACATGAAATTCACCCCTATATAGAGAGAATTAGTGCAAGAGCTATACCACAAACAGGCTCTATTTTGAGGATTTAAGCAGAGCTTGTTACTTTATTTTTACACTGTAACTAATTTGTAGCCACAGTAGACTTACAAAGACCCAGGACACAAACCAACAAAAAAACCCCATGACTTTTTGCCCCTTCAGTAACTCTAAATCCCTGAAAACTTTGGCTGAGTTTTGTGAAGGAAATTCAGCCAGATTCATATAATACCCAAACCCACTCTGTAATGTACACTATCAGTGTAGATTCTTATGCAGTCCCATTCAGTATCTCCTTATGCAATGTTATATATTTTTATTTACGTATCTTAACATGAAGAAAATTACCAAGATGACCTTTTAATGCACAGTATTTAGCATAGAATAATGAAGCAGAAGCATGCTACCTTAATAAGAAGACTTCTGTTTTCTAAAACAATTTTTCCATCCTTTTTGTTTGTGTAATGACAGCTGTATTCTCTAAGACTGCAAGTGCAGCAAAACCGCACATTTGTGTAGGAGTTTTTAGCATTCATTATTGATGCATTCCACCTCTTCCTTGGATGTCACTGTCCTCTGCACAGATCGACCAAACTATATAAATAAAAGACCTGTTTCTGGCTATACGTCTGTCTAAAGGTACAGAAACTTTCATGGGAGCCTATAAATTCCATTAGATCTAAGTGATGTATGCTCCCAATATTTATCCTCTTGTCAGAGAGCTCATAGATGACTGGCCCAGCCATGGGCCCACTCAATACTCTCTTGTCATGTGCATGCCTTCTCTTACGTGGTATTCATAAGAACCCAGTTAGATGGACCAGTTGTTCACATCCCACAAAAATAAACAGGAAAGTTTTTCCACCCATTTGTTGTTTTCAGGCTGCTTACAGATTCTGGCAGACATCACTGTGTCAATTCTGCTCAATTTGCCAGCATGTAAGCTTTATAATTTTTCATTTTAAACGAGAATTAAGTGTGCTGTAATTACAAGAGACTTTGGGTGAAATCCTCTAATGCTGACGTGTCAATCCAGCATTTTTTTCCTGCCCTGCCTTCTCTTCTTTTTCTATCCTGAACATTGAAGGTAAGGCATGAACCATAGGTGAGGAGGCCCGTCTTCATTTCCTCCACATAAATGGCTACTGGGCAACTGTAGCATACAGGGGCACTGCACAGCTCCTTTCCATCAAGAATGAGTTCCTTTCTCTCTCCCTACACCGTAGCTGAAGCTGGAAGAGTTATTTGAAATACAGACATAAAGAATATATTTTCTATTTTAATTTATCAAGATTTCCTTCCTTTCATGTAGACAATTATTGTTTTTTCATCATTATTTAGAATGCAACATCTGATTTGTGTAGAGTAGTAGTAACCTGGGACCAAAATGAGCACTTTTCATCAATATGAATGAGTGGCTTTATTTATTTACTTACTTCTCTCTAGCAGCTGTTGCAGAGATGCAGTGAACCAACTTTTTACTTCAGCTACTCTGGCTATGGGTTTTCCTTGGTTTTATCTGTACTTTTTAGGCTTTGTGAGATCTTTCATAGAAAAAAAGTACAGCAGCCTAAGCCTTAGGTGCCTAATTAACCTTTTTGTGCTAGATAAGTAACCACTAGAGGCTCTGTGTCCTAGTTTAATATTGCAGAGGCCAGTTTAAAGTAGGAGCGATTTTCAGTCCAGTACATAAAATTTTGGAAACCTTCTGATATGCTTAGGGCAGGTTTTCTGGTACTATGACAAACATTGTAGGTCCTCTGATTTAAATGCAAACCCAAGAACTGTTTCTGGAATGCTTGTGTTTCTGTTACCAGCCTGGATCATTAGAAGGACACGCTGCAGGCCCTGACACCTTTGAGTATGCATTCAGCTTAGGGCAAGTTCTGAACTGATGTGACAAGTTCCTAACTGAGGTGCCCGCACTCTCTTTTTGTCGTATCTTTTGCATTGGTAACTCAATTGGCAATGACCTTCGTGTATAGGATGCAATGCTGGTGTACACGAGAACAGAACTGATAAGAAAGTACTTGAGAGATGATAAATAGCGGAGTGCACATTAATAAATGCCACTTGTTGTGCACACGGAGCTTATATAACTAAAAAATAAGAGCCTTGTCCTACTGCATGTAGTAAAACTCCATCAAGAACTAGGAAATCTGAGTAGTGGGAACCGTGATAGAAATGGTGACGTCCTTAGCATTAACACACACAAGTTGTCTTCTTTTGAACCATGCACTTTGCCAGTGACAGGGATGCAGTCTTAATAGGAAATGCCCTATCTTTTACCTCAGTATAAACAGGCACCTCGGGACAGGCAGGATACTGTCGTATGTCCCTGGGCATCTCCCATCCCCCTTCAGGGCTGGTAAATGACATTCACTGCTCCTTTCTTGGAAATGTGCAAAAAGGATTTCCATAGATAGTCTTTGGAGATTTCCTGTTTTCTCATGTGTGTAATAGGTTGGGTCAAGCAACAAAGAGGAGGGAGGAAAGAATAGGATTTAATTTTATATGCACTCTGCCGTCATCGCCATTGGAAAAAAATGGATGAAAAGAGAAATTATGCAATAGAGGTGATGTCAGTGTTAAATTAAATTAAGATCATATGTTTTTATGCAGCAGCTGTAAGCCTGCAGTTATGGGAGGTGTCATGATAATAGAGTACATTCCGAAAGAATGTTAACAAATTGCTTGTGTGCATGAATAATTAGTCATAAAAGTCACGAAATTATCTATGGTATTTTAAGCCAACATAGTTTAAATTTATAACCTATAATTTATTCACTTTTTGAACATCTGAACTGTACTAAGAAAAGTTGTCGTATGACAGTTTAAAGAAAGAAAAAGAATACTAAGTTTTATATCAGCATATCATTCTAAAACACTGTGAATGCAAAGGATACCATCTTAAGGTATTGACTAACAAATTCATGAAAGCACAGCCTCTTAAAATCTTTTAAATTATGGATAAGGAAATTTATATTGTGAATCAAGTAACATCTCTGGTTTTTGTAAATACAGGGTTTAAAATGCAAGTTGTATCTTTTTAATTTGCAGTTATTAAGTAGTTTCAAACAACGATAAGTAATGATCAAAATCCTAGTCCCATTACAGCTAGAAGAAATGTACAGGTGGGAAAACTTAATTTTGTGTTTCATATGGACAGAGAGACTGCAAAAAGAAAAAAAAGTGGACGTTCTTAGCATTGTATTTATTGGGGTTTTTTTTCCTGTTTCACAGATTTTGAACACCTCTGTAAAAATCTTCACAGCACTTTGTGATTCTGCTGGCCTAGGAAGAGCATATGCAGCTCTAACCAAGATCCTGGTAAGGTAGGTTAGCACACCCTTGTCTGGCTGTCAGTGCAGATTCATTCAACTGTAAAAGACTTAAATTGTTAGAGGTCTGTCGCTTCCCATTACTGACTGCTTAAATTTTAAGCAGTGCCCTTCTTGCAGTAAGTGACCCTTTCATCGAAAGTTATTTTAAATTGGTACGCGTTTTTTAAAGTGTATGATCCAAGCTTTTCTTTACCTGTAAGCTATAATATGTCCTTTTTCTCCTACGTTTTGGGTGCTTATTTGATTTTTTTTTCCCCCACAAGTATGTGAGGGAACCTTACTGGAAAATAGAAATCCAGGCATTGTTTCACAGATTTTGAACACCTCTGTAAAAATCTTCACAGCACTTTGTGATTCTGCTGGCCTAGGAAGAGCATATGCAGCTCTAACCAAGATCCTGGTAAGGTAGGTTAGCACACCCTTGTCTGGCTGTCAGTGCAGATTCATTCAACTGTAAAAGACTTAAATTGTTAGAGGTCTGTCGCTTCCCATTACTGACTGCTTAAATTTTAAGCAGTGCCCTTCTTGCAGTAAGTGACCCTTTCATCGAAAGTTATTTTAAATTGGTACGCATTTTTTAAAGTGTATGATCCAAGCTTTTCTTTACCTGTAAGCTATAATATGTCCTTTTTCTCCTACGTTTTGGGTGCTTTTTTGATTTTTTTTTCCCCCACAAGTATGTGAGGGACCTTACTGGAAAATAGAAATCCAGGCATATTTTCCAAGCATAAAAAGACAGACAGCCTTGAAGAACATAGCAAGTTTCAGTAGGTGTCTCAGTGTAATCTTTTCTGAACTGTAAGTTTCCATTTACTGCATTCACTTCTTCTGTGGAGGCATTTCTAGTTTGTGCATGGGTAACTAGATATAAATTAGTTGCAGATAAGATGCTTGTCTTCAATGTTTTTTTTTCGGCATCTGGCATTAAATTTTTTTTCCAGGTGAATTAGTTTGAAACTACTTCAACTTCTTACACAAATAATTTTGACATAAAATAGTCTAATGCAATTATCATATGAAGTAGGAAAAGAAGGGACTAAAGTGAAAGTTGCAGCTTAGCCTTCATTAATCCTGTGTTTGGGGACTTCAGTGCATATGATGCATGACAGAGGTTGCCAAATTGTTTATGGAGGAGGACTTGCCACGCAATTTATTTCAGCATGTGGAGCGAATTCTCCTGTTTGAGTTTAGATGCCTTGCCTCTTGGCCTTTCAGAGCAGATTGGGACCAGCCACAATCACAGTTCTCTTCAGGTCTCTGATACATAATTCATGGCTACTCATATTCTGAGCATCCTAAATAAGCACATGGAGTAAGATGTTCAAAAAGCCACAGAACAGACTTAGAATACCAGGTCCCACTTTCAAAACTCAGTTAAGCCTAACTGAGAAAGATTTAGTTGCTGGGACACCAGCTGTTACAACGAGTGACTTTGCAACCAGTGCAAAGGCGTCTGAGTTCTCAGTAGCATTCATGGGTTCCTTGTATTCACAAAAAGCAGAAATCTGGGTAGAGGGTGGCTTAAGATAGCCAAGAGGACATTCCTAGAAAATGACATATATTCGTTTCCCCTTTCTGTGATTTAGGCATTCTGGAATGAGAGCACATACATTTATTTACTCAGAAGTTACAGATTTGGAGATCCTCCTGAAGTCAGGTTTCTAGAACCTTCCTCTGAAAGACCATGCCAGTGCAAATTCTTTTCTTAGAAGCAGAGCTAAAGAAGGAGTGGCTAGTGATTTTCTTCTGCATCAAATCTGCACACCACACTTCTGGGAGCATTCTCTAGCTCCCTGGGAATGGACAGTCTCACTGCTTTCCGATAGTTGCAATTTGAAAAAGAGGAAAAACAGTAGGTAAGGAGAAACGAGAGGGGAAACTAAGAGCCATAAGACTCCCCCGTGTAGTATTTAAGGCATTCTTCTAAGAGAGGAAGGTTCTGATTGATTCAAGTGAAGTAGGAACTCACTCTCATGTCTAGGGTCAGGGATTTAACAGCTGATCTATTGCACTGGTAAAGACACAACCATAAAGCCTTCCTCTGGAAAATGGCTGCTGTGGTATTTTTCATAAAACTCATCTGGTAGTTATGTCCTGAGAACATTAACCAAATTAAACACCTTACATATGTGCCTGCTTTGAAGAGCTTTAGGTACATGATAGGCATTAACTCCTCAGCCCAGTAAAAGATCATGATGATTCTTCAGCACCTTTCAGCCATTTGAGAAACTTTTACGTAGAAAAGTCTGGGCACCTATGAATCGTAGAATTGTTTGAGTTGGAAGGGACCTTTAAAGGTCATGTAGTCTAACGCCCCTGCAATGAGCAGGGGCATCTTCAGCTAGGTCAGGTTGCCCAGAGCCCCTTCCAACCTGACCTTGAACGTTTCCAGGGATGGGGCATTTACCACCTCTCTGGGCAACCTGTTCCAGTCTTTACCACCCTCGTCATAAAAAATTTCTTCCTTGTATCTAGTCTGAATCTACCCTCTTTTAGTTTGAAACCATTACCCCTTGTCCTATCACAACAGGCCCGGCTAAAAAGTTTGTCCCCATCTTTCTCAAAAGCCCCCTTTAAGTACTGAAAGGCTGCAGTAAGGTCTCCCCGCAGCCTTCTCTTCTCCAGGCTGAACAAGCCCAACTCTCTCAGCCTTTCTTCATAGGAGAGGTGTTCCATCCCTCTGATCATTTTCATGGCCCTCCTCTGGACCCAGTCCAACAGGTCCATGTCTTTCCTGTGTTGAGGACTCCAGAGCTGGACACAGGGCTCCAGGTGGGGTCTCACCAGAGCAGTGTAGAGGGGCAGAATCCCCTTCCTCGACCTGCTGGCCACGCTTCTTTTGATGCAACCCAGGATACGTCTGGCTTTCTGGGCTGTGAGTGCACTTTGCTGGCTCATGTCCAGCTTTTCATCCACCAGTACCCCCAAGTCCTCCTCCGCAGGGCTATTCTCAATCCTTTCATCCCCCAGCCTGACCCAGGTGCAGGACCTTGCACTTGGCCTTCTTGAACCTCATGAGGTTCACATGGGCCCACTTCTTGAGCTTCTCCAGGTCCCTCTGGATGGTATCCCATCCCTCAGGTGTGTCAACCACACCACTCAACTTGGTGTCATCCACAAACTTGCTGAGGGTGCACTCTATCCCACTAAGTCATCGATGAAGATGTTAAACAGTACTGGTCCCAGTATGGTCCCCCAATATGGACACCACTCATCACTGATCTCCATCTGGACATTGAGCCATTGACCACAACCCTCTGGATGTGACTATCCAACCTATTCCTCATCCACCGAACAGTCCACCCATGAAATCCATCTTTCTCCCTTTTAGAGAGAAGGATGTTGTGGGGGACTGTGTCAGAGACCTTACAGAACTCCAGATAGATGACATCCGTAGCTCTTCCCTTGACCACTGATGTAGTCATTCCATTATAGAAGGCCACTAGGCTGGTCCCTTGCCAAAGTGCAGTTCCAGCTGCACCTTGGCCTTCCTGAACCCATCCCTACACAACCAGGCAACATCCCTATTCTCTTTCCAGGACACCTGTCTCTGCTTCCACTGCCTGTGTATTTCCTTCTTGACCTGTAGTTTGACCAGCAGGTCTCAACTCAGACATGCTGGTCTCTTGCCTTCCTTTCCTGTTTTTTTACACCTGGGGACAGAGAGCCCTTGTGCTCTATAGAAAGTGTCCTTAAAGATCTGCCAACTCTATTCTGCTCCCTTGTCCCTGAGGGCAGTTTCCTATTGACTACCTCCTTGAAGAGCTGGAACTTTGCTTTCCTAAAATTCAGGGTCCTGACTTCACTCTTCACCTGACCCATATCCCTCAGGACTGTGAACTCCACCAGTGCATGATCGCTGCAGCCCAGGCCGCCTCCAATCTTGACATCACTAATTAGCTCACTTGCATTGGTGACCATGAGGTCCAGTATCACATCCCCTCTGGTAGGGCTGTCTATTACCTGGCTTAAGAATTCATTCTCGATGCACTCCTGGATTGCCTACAGCTTGACATGCTACTTTTCCAACAGATATCAGGATGGTTGAAGTCCCCCTGCAGGATGAGAGCCTGTGAGTGCAATGTTTCCTGTAGCTGGAGTAAGAAGGCTTTGTCAATCAGGTGGCCTGTAGTAGACACCAACCACAAGGTTCCCTTTGTTGCTTCAGTCTCTAATTCTTACCCATAAGCTTTCAACCTGCTCGTGGCTATTCTTCAGAGACAGCTCTTCACACTCTATCTATTTCTTGATGTAGATGGCAACCCCTGCACTTCTCCTTCCTTGCCTGTCCCTTCCGAACAGCCTGCAGCCATCAATAGGTGCAGTCCAGTGGTGGAATTTGTCCCACCAAGTTTCAGTAATGGCAACTAGAGTTGAATCAGAACTGAATTCTGGCATTCAGTTGACCAAAAATTTAAAGGATCACAATTCTGGATTTATGGTCCAAAACCTTAAAAATGTCTCAGGTAAGATGTATAAACCTGTTTGTGTATGTGGGCCTTACGTCTTCTTGAATGCTTGAACCCTGTGACTGAGGGTCATAGAGACTTAGGAAGTTTTCATCCATTGTCTTCATGGGGCAATTCTATAAGGACGTCTCACAGATGGGGAGACGCCATTCCATAAAACCCATTTATTTGTTGTTTTAAGTAGAAATGGATAAATTCCATTATTTACTTTTACTATATCACAAGCAGCAAAAATAGCTGAGTAGACCTTAAAGTATCTCTGACGTGTGAAAATAGCATAAGCAACATTTGAAATGGGTGTTGAGGGAGCTGGCCAAAGCGAGGCTGCTTTTGATTATCTTTGAAAGATTGTGGTAACTAGGAGCGGTTCCTGAGGACCGGAAGTTTACAGACATCACTTCTGTCATCAAAAGAGAGGATCCAGGAAAATTCAGGCTGGTAAACCTTGCCTCGATCCCTGAGAAGGTGATGGAGTGAATACTCCTGGAAGCAATTTCCAAACATGTCAAGGACAAGAGGGTGATTGGATTTAAGGCAGGGAAACTGTGCTTCACCAACCTGATAGCCTTCTAGGACAAGATGACTGGCTCGGTCGATGAAGGGAAAGCAGCGGATGTTGCTTCTCTCAGTTTTGGCAAGGATTCTGACACCATCTCCCATGACATCGCCATACACCAGCTGATAAAGTATGGCTTAGATAAATAGACCAGGAGGTAGACTGAAAACTAGCTGAGCTGCCAGCCTTCACAGGATTGTAAGCAGTAGCATGAAGTCCACCGGCAGGCCAGTCACTAGTGGTGTCACTCCGGGATCAATACTGGCACCAATCTGACTAATAACTTCATTAATGACCTGGGTGGTGTGACCAAGCGTACCCTCAGCATGTTTGCAGGCAATACAAAATTGAGGAGGAACGGTTGATCCACCAGGTAGGTGGTTGTGCTGCCATTCAGAGGGACCTCAGCAGGCTGGAGAGATGAACAGATGGCAGTCGCATGAAGTTCAGGAACAGGAAATGCAAAGTCCTGCCCTTGGGGATGGATAACCCCAGGCACCAGCCCAGGCTGAGGGCTGACTGGGTGGAAAGGAGCTTGGCAGAGAAGGACCTGCATTTCCTGGTGGACAACAAGTTGCCCATGAGACAGCAATGCACACTCATGGCAAAGGTGACCAACGGGATCCTGGGCTGCATTAGGTAGAGAGTTGGGAGCAGGTTGAGGGAGGTAATCCTTTGCCTCTACTCAGCACTGGTGAGGTCACCCCAGGAGTGCCACATCCCATTCTGGGCTCGCCCATACAAGAGAGAGAGGGATGTAGTGGGGTGAGTCCAGTGAAGGGCTGTGAAGGTGACTAAGGGACTGGGAGCATCTGTCCTAGGAGGAGAGGCTGAGGGAGCTGGGACTGTCTCCGGGGATCTTATCAATACCTCTTAGGCAGCAGCAGAGGGAGCCAGGCTCTTCTCAGTGGTGCTCAGTGACAGGACATTAGGAAAAACTTCTTCACCAAAAGGGTTGTCAGGCTCTGGAATGGGCTGCCCAGGGAGGTGGTCGAGTCCTCATCCCTGGAGGTATTTAAAAGAAGGATAGATGAGGTGCTTAGGGACATGGTTTAGTGGTGGGATGGCAGGGTTGGGTTAAAGGTTGGACTCAACGATCTCAAAGGTCTTTTCCAACCAAAGTGATTCTATGACAAGAGGCAATGGGCACAAACTGAAATATATGCGATTCCTTTTAAACACAAGAAGAAGAAAAAATTACTGTGAGGATGAATTCTGGAACAGGTTGTGGAGTGTCCATCCTTCCAAAGTCACTCAAAATTCCATTTCCTCTAGTTGCTCTGAGCAAGGCAGATGGAGATGATCTCCAGAGAGCCCTTCCAACCTTAACTATACCATGATTCTATGATCTTTGTCTTAAGCAGTCCCTCTAGATAAATTCCCTTTTGCCACGTGATGCTCTCTAAGAGAATGCTTTCTGTAACCAATAGATATTTCAGACAAACCTACTTTTCAAAATTCAGTAACTGAATTCTTGATAAACAAAAACTTGCTGGTCCAGCTGTATTGGTTCTTCCTTGGAGGAGGAAAGGGCATAGCAAAATGGTTTGAAAAGCCAATGTAAAGAGCCATTTAAAAAAAATTGCAATTTTCTGTTTACTCTCACACTAAACTGGTTGATATTTACTTGTCTGATGCATAGCAAACAAGCAAATTTCTGGCAAGCCTGTTTAGAAAATATTGGATAAATGTATGAATAATTACTGTTGGTGACAGAATCTCCATACTCAGCTTGATCACTTTTTTTTTTTACTTGTATTTTTACCTGATCTAGGCTAGACTTGTGCAAATCATTTTAAATTTGATGGATAATTTCTTGACAAAGAAAAGATGACCATTTCCCTGAAATAATACATTATAACGATCATGTCTGTGAGAATTTGCACTGATTGCCTTGTGACAGGTTGAAGAAAGTGGCTGAGCCCTACTGAATCACTCAGAACTTGTCTGCGGCTTTGGAATTTTTTGTGAAGTCTTTGCTGCAGATGTTTCCACAGATCACGGGAAAGTGAAATTCTCTAGCATGTGCATTTAGGCATGTCATTTTCCAGGGAAAAATCTGACATAATAACATCATGTTCTTGACTTATTCTGCCAGTGTCCACCATGGTAATGACTTCTTGTGGACACATGATTTATACATCCAATTCAATCACATGAGCAATCCTATAAAAGGTGCATATTTTCATAAAAGTCTAATAGGGGTAAAAATCTCATAGGGCATTTTAGCATGAAACTGGAAAATGAGTTGCTGTAGATATGTAATCTCTTCTGCTGAAGTCATCATAACTGTTCTGTGGGATCATGAATGACTATATCTTCAGGAAATTGCATTTTATGCATTTAGGAAGGTGATGTCTAAGGAGATAGAAAGTATATGGCTGTATAAAATAACATGTAGATTTTTGAAGGAACTGTAAAATATTAGCCCTTTGAGTGGGAAAGATCTCTTTATCATGTTATCAGGTCTTGTACAGGATAAAGTGTTTCAGTAATCCTTCTAGCATACTTTAAATATCTCAGGCTGTAGTGCTTTTAAAAGTACTTCCTTTGAAAAATTGTTAAACTGTACCAACCAATTGCTAGTTGGCATAAGTGAAGTTCTAACAGTGAGAAATATCTGTCTGAGATGTATCAAATTGATTTCTGTTTGCTAGAAAAAGGTTATATGCCCTAGCAATTTTCATATTTTCTATACGTGCCTAGGTTTTGATGTGAAATATAAAAAAAATGGCCAAAAATACTTCAAAACATTTCTATTAATTCATGAAATTAAGAAAACCTTTTTACATTTTCTCCTGTCACTGATTCCATTTGCTTTATTACTTTCAGCCTCTAGCCCACAAACTTGGTGGCACAATCAACAAACCCCTTAGTGGCTGTTTCATCTCTGCTCTATTTGATTTCTCCACTCTGAGTAAATGATTAAGTTTTCATGCATTGGTTCAACCAAAATCTATGTTCACTCAACCACATCCTTTATTGATTACTTCTACTGCAAACAGTAGGCCAAGTGTGATATACATAATTGGACAGTTGTCAGGGGATGTGGGTGTTAACAGTCCTGTTTTCCCAATTGGAAACTGGAATCACCTTGATACACAAATATTCTGCACTGTTTCATTCTAATTCCTTGGACCGAGGAGTCCTTTTCCTCAGAATATATGTTTTTAACTCTCAAAGGTCTGGTTGAATGGATTTAATGATTATACCATATAATATGCTCTTCAAGTTGCACCTGTGCACTGCATATAGAAAACTAGAAAAACTGGAATTAATATTTGTCTAACACTTTACCCTTGTCCTTTAACTTATATAAATCATATGCTGTATTTCTGTGGGGAAACATTTGATTTTCTCTTCTTAGGAAAAAAAATAGGTTTAAAAAATGTGTTTCTAATTTTAAAATTTAGAAGCCTTTCGACATTTGGCAAATGTTTACAGTACAGTATATGTAATATTCTCGTGACATAAAAATACTTAAATCGGGAAACTTTAGTAAATCCATCTCTGCTTATTGACAACTAGGCTTTACAGTAGCATATAGTTGAACATTTCAAGCATGTTAGTTTGCAGTGTTTTAGCATCCTTTTGTAGCGATCTAGCTCCTCTCAGTCACATACAGATAATCACTGCAATATTGTAAATTTGCAGCCACACTTTGCTGTGTTTCCTGTTCCGTGGCAGGTGCTACCCTGTCATAATGACTCTGATTTTATAAGGCAGGGAATTGCAGACTTCTGCCAGATTTTGAAAGCACATACACCTAATACAGTTTATAAGAAAAACTGTCATGTAAATAAACCACAGTCGGCCGTTTGCTGCGGGAATATAACTTGCACGTGTTTTAAAATGGTGAGAAAATAAATCACAATTCTTTATCACTTACAGGAACTTCTGTTTCTGTGAGTTTCTTAATTAAGACTGGATTTTCTGTCTTGCTTGGTGGCTTGACATTTAGCATGCTACACTCCTACATTAGTGGCTCGAGTTCATGGCTAATATTGAGGTCACCTGCAGTAACACTTCAGCCTTAAAGGGAAAAAGAGCGCAGTGCCTTACTCACAAGCAAACCCAGATGTCTATCTTCTATCTTGTAATCATACTGCAGAGATCTTATATTGTTAATATGACCTGCTTTATTAAAAAAAAGGAAATCTGCAAATGTTATTCTCAAAGTACATTAGCCAATTTTCAACTTAGATTCAGCTGTGACCTCAGGTTGCTCTGATCTCACTGGGATTTGGGGGTGACACCTGCCATCCATGGTTTATAGGTTTGGCTGCATGACTCCAGCAACCCTTGATCCCCCCAGCCAAAGGGCAGCGCTGCATGCAGGGAAAGGCTCTCACCCCCAGAACGAAGAGATCGCCCTGTTGTGGAGCTGCTGCTGCACCACCAGGGTTCTAGAGCAAGAAATGACAGCTCTGAATGACAGGAGCACAAAAAGTCATACTGAAAAACTAGCCTTCTTATCACCTTACCCTATTTTGTCAGGATGTGAGCCTATATTGAAAATGCTATCGACTGCTCAGCCAAAAGAATGTTAAAATAATGGAAAATCCCAAACCTGTGTAAAATCATCGCCTCCATTTTCATTGTTGACCTTAAAATATGGCACACTATTCTGAAGAAGAATTTTGTTTTATTTCACTCAAAGGATCCACTTCTGCCCTCAGAGGTGCTGTGTGGACTGGTCTCGTTGGTCCCAGCACAGGTAGTGCCCAGACAACCATTTTGGAAATAAAGTCCATTCATGGATGAGTCATCACAAAGTAAAGCTACTTCAGAACAGGGGGATAGACCTTCAGCATTTGGAGAAGCCATCTGAGTGAATTTAATCTTGTCCCTGTCCTTTCCTTCAGTCAAGGAAAAGCATCTGAAACTATTGAGTGCTTGGGAGAGTTTATGAAGACTGCTGAGAATGCTCATCTAAGCCAAAGCCTGGTGGATGCATGTGTATTACTTGGGAATATTTACAATGAAAGAGTAAGTACTGGTTGTAGTAATGATGCCAAACAATTGGGTTTAATGCATGGTAAAAGTCTGGTTTTGCATATGAGATGACCCAGAAGGATTTGATCCAGGTGTTGTACCTTACAAGAGTTACCAAAGGAGAAGATATTGTGTGACTAAATAAAAAGTGCCGTAAGTTTTTGGGAAAGGTGAAAATTTCACACCATATTTAACATATAGGGTTTTGTTCTAGAACAAGCGAATAAAACGTCCGAATTCAGATCATGACAAACTTTCAGTGTTGTGAAAAATCTGCATCCAAATCACCTTTGGGGCCGCATATGCCCATAAAGAGCCATCAGTTAATGCAAATGAAATTTTGTTGTACTACACATTGAAATTCCTGCTTTTTTAAAATGAATGTATACTATATGGCATACTAATAAGCAGTTTTTAATATTAGCTTGATTTCTTCTCTACATTCTTCTAGCCAGATTTATGAAATGGGTGCTAGCAGCAAATAGTTTGGCAAAAGTCTGTGTTGGTAGTGGAAGGGCTTTCTCTTCTATATGCCTCCATCCAGCCTGATGGCTTTGATTTGGCCTGTTTAAATCAATAGATAGGCAGTGACCGACAGTATTAAGCTAGAGGTAACTAAGAAACTTCCTTTATCATAGTTTTTGAGGGCTTTTGAAGTGCTTCTTTCCCACCCATGTGCCAGTCTCTGAGTTGTTCCTCCGGGGTGGCGGCAGGTCTGCTGGCTGCCTGTCTGGGGGGCGGTTTCCATGTTGCCTCTATCCTTTACCGCATCTAGAGATGCAGCGCTTGCACTGTGGTAGCACGTGGTTTTTTGAAATCAGAAGAGTTAAAAACATTACTGCAGAAGTGAAAGATTCACACTGAATCCTTTAATACCTATTTTAGAGCCGAAATACTACATGAAATTATTTAGATACAATAAGTAATGGAAAGAATTCATTCTGCAGACTGGACGATGTGGAAATTATAAGACACTTTCATTATAACAAAATTAAAATAGAAATAGCCTTTCACAATCACCTTTTTTACCTTCTGTTGTCTGTTTTTTTGGTCAGAATTTCTTTTCTATGTGTAATATATGAAACAGACTACTTGCCCCTTTTCACTTACACTACCCCAAAATACCTTTTTTTTTCTGGATTCCTCTGATAGAGAACTCCAACCACCAAAGTTGCTGGCCCTTTTTTGTTTCATAAGCAGTAAAAAAATTTCTTTTTCTGTAATCTCTAAATTAGCCTGAGAGTTTTCTATTTACATAGAAATTTTATTACATAGAGAGCTGTTACATATGTTCCTAGCGTAAATGCTGAATTTCCTATTGAAAACTAAATTTTAAAGTCTTTGAGAACTTGGTGAAGTAACTTTAAAATGGGCATGAAACTTAGAAGAAAGTAGGGTGATGTGACACTGTGCTTAATTATTCTACCCCAAATTTGAAAAATAATTAACTAAATTCTGTTTAACTACTTTTATATTTCACTGATTCTGCCACCATTGCTAATAATCAGTTCTATGAGAACTGATATTTTAACACTTGACCTCTTTTTGGTTGTTCTCTAAATTTTCTTTCCAGTTCAGAATTTGCTGCCTTGAACTGGGGTAGTGGTTTAGAAGGGAAGAAATGTAGTGACTTAATCTTATTAATTTAGGTAAAATATGCCATTTAAACATACCAAAAAGAAATCTCTTAAAGTTTCGCAATTCCCTATTTTCTAGACCTTTTTTTCTGCAAAGTCAGCAATGTTTACCAAAACGGAGTCTAAATTAACATTTCCGCTCTCGGATCACTGCCTGCTTGGTGTCAGCTGTCATCGCTAGTATTCTCTAAGTCATTATTAGGGTGTTTTTATTCAACTCTGTACTTCCCCTGGTGACACAATTTGCAGTAGTACTGTCCTTCTCATCAAATTAAAGATATCTCTATTTATATCCAGATCTATCCTCTGGGACCTTTAGTAAACCAGGGCTTCTACTGTTCTTCCCAAAGTGACTTTGACCAAATTGACTTTGCTCTGTCCACGCTATTGCTGTATCTTTCCTATTCTGTCATCTCGCTATTCCATCACCGTCACTGTCTTTCTTTAATGTTGTACACTCAGTTCCTGCTTTTTGGTCATGATGTTTTGCCCATGTGTTTCTTGTTTCCTAAAATGCCTGGATTTGGGTTATGCGTGACTATTAGGTCTAATTTCTCCCAGTTTGTTAAACAGGTTGCTTAATATGCAAACTCTGATGGAGTTAGTGTGACACACGCTGTCATTTCTCATTTCACTTTTCTCAAGTTTCTTAGTCTGATTTGCTGCATTCCTCTCACTAATTGCATCACTTAACCTATTATCGTTCTCATGAGTATGGTAGGTAGTTGTTCCTGCTTTTTATCTGTTATCTTACTGCTTATCATTCTTTTTTCATCACTGTGTCCTCGTAGGCCTAATTCTGCTCTCCTGCTGTATCATACAAAGCCTAAAGACTACTTGAATTCCTATTACTCTTTTCTCCTTTTTTAATTACAGGCACAGTTTAGCAGTTAGACAAATTTTGATCCCAAAAAATGGCATCAGGTGCCACAGGTATCAACTGGAGTCTCTCCTCCTGATCTCTAGGCAGAAGGGAATTTCAGTCTTACTAAATCAAGCTGAGAGTGAAAGGATAAGACAGCTCTGAAAATGTTTTCAGGCAGGAAGTTTGTGCCATCGGGGCAGCAGAATTCCACACCAATGGGAGAAATGGAAGGCATCTTCCAGGGAGCAGGCAGGCTATAATTAGTGTTAATGATAGACATATAGAAACTGCCACAAAAAGTTTGTCTAGCTCTGACAAGAGCCAGAACTAATTCCTTCAGAGTAAGACAAGGGATGAACAGTTCCATAATGACTTGCTCCCAGGAAGACCTTTGTTTCCCTTGTCTTGTTTGTTGATTTTTTTTTTTCACAAGGATATCCAACTTTTTTCTTAGTAGGCTTGTGATCAAGATTGTCGCCATAAACGATCCATTAAGAGGAGAGTGCTCTGTAATTATTTTTTAATTTCTTGCCCTTCAGCTATATTCACTTCGTCCCTATTCTTCTGTTGTAGTTGGTAGCAGTTTTCAGTCTATTCCTGGTTTATATGTCCTGTTTGGTATATATTTATTTTGTCCAGTTTTATTAATATACTGTTCATTTACATAGATTGTATCTAGCTTTCACCACTGCATTCTTGATGCATCCTAATATTTTATTTGACCTTATTAGATATTGGAGCTGGTTTGCATTTAGTAGAATCATAGAATCATAGAATCATAGAATGTTTTGGGTTGGAAGGGACCACTAGAGGTCATCGAGTCCAACCCCCCTGCAGTCAGCAGGGACACCGCCAACTAGATCAGGTTGCTCAGAGCCCCATCCAACCTGGCCTTGAATGTTTCCAGGGATGGGGCCTCCACTACCTCTCTGGGCAACCTGTTCCAGTGGTTTACCACCCTCATTGTAAAGAATTTTTTCCTTATATCTAGCCTAAACCTACCCCGATTTAGTTTAAAACCATTACCCCTTGTCCTAACGCAGCTGGCCCTACTAAAAAGGTTTTCCCCCTCTTTCCTATAGGCCCCCTTTAGGTACTGAAAGGCCGCAATCAGGTCTCCCCGCAGCCTTCTTTTCTCTAGACTGAACAAGCCCAAGAAGAAGCCACTGCAGAGCTGCCCATGTTATTTCAAGGCCACCTTCCTGTGCCTGAGTTAATTAGAACCCACTAAAAGTGATAAATAGTTCAGGCAGTATGAATTACCTCTCATTTTCTAAAGAATTCATTTCATTTGCTACCAGGTAACCACTCAGGTAGTAGTATTAGTATTATTAGCCTTGAAAAAGCCTTCCTTCTTTACCTTTTTCTACAATCTTGACAAAATTGTTATCTGATACTTTTTTTTATCATAATTAAACATTAGACAATACTGATACTAGAACATAAAGTTATTGCCCACTGCCACATATAATACCAACACAAAATGTACTCTCTTTCAAGCCTGGATTTTATTACCTGGTTTTGATGACAGAGATAATTTATTTGCCAGCAATTCAATCTCTTTGTCTTTAGATTTCTTCAAATCTTTTATTTATACTCTGTTTTGGTCTGGTGGTATGCTGCTTTTAAAATTAGAAGCTTGCTCCTGCAACTCTTCTTTTGACTCCATCTCTGATGGTAACTCGAAGTAGCTTCATGGTAAAAAAGAGATATGCAAAAGATGAAGAAATAGACTGAAAAATATTTTAGCTTTTCAGCAGTACCCTTCAGCCTACCATGATTTTCCCTTGTTTTCTCTTTATTCCTCTTTGGTCAAGAAGTTGAGGAGTTTTCTTTCTCTCTCTCACATAAAAAATAGTTCTTGTTATCCTTTTTCTAATTCCTCTTAATGTATTATCTGCTGTAGTTTATAATCCTTTTTACTGGCTTCATGAATGTTGGATTTCTGTATTCTGCAGGATAAAGAGATAAATTATTTGGGTTTTCTATTTAGCAACAGTTTGCTTATATTTCTCCTACTGTTCGTCTTTTTTGTGATTAGGAATATTCCTGGGTTTTAGTATACCCCTTCTTCCCCCATAAATCTGTAGGTTTTAATTTCTGTTCTTTTCTGTGCTTTAGGCCAATCACTTCATTGTCCTCTTTTTTCCATTTTTAATATTTCTTTTCCAAAATTTAGTATCACAATAGTAAATTAGCACCTGTCCTCCCATAGAGATGTTAAACTTAATGAAACAATAGTGATAATTTCTAAATGGCTTGGCTGGAATCAGTATTAACACTTAGCATTGATATACTTGGATTTCTATGTTCAAAATACTACACAGACAACCAAAAAACAATTCAGTTCCTGACAAAGGTATGAGCAGCGTTATCTGGATTTTAGAGGTTAGGAAACAGCAAGGGAGAGTGATTTGCTTAATACCATGCCATGAGTCATTCTGTAGGCTGGCCCCTCAGCTGCAACATCTCTGAGGTACCAGAGGAGCAGGCTCTAATGTCAAGGTAAAATACAGGTGACTACAAGTAGATTTTACAATTCTTTTCTTTTTTTCTCTTCTTTACTAGGGGAAGTATAATGAAGCTTTTGAGTATTTCAGTCGGGCTTCTGAGGCAGCAAAAACTTTAAATAATTTGCCCTTAGTGGATGAAACAAAGACTTATTGTGGCATTGCGAAGGCTCATAAACTGATGGTGGCGTTTAACAGCCGTATAGAAGCAGAAGATCCCATCAGCCTCAAGTACCTGCTAGCATGGAAGGAGAACAGAAGTGACATGTGCACTGACCCTCTTACAGTCGGTAAGACATTGGTTATGAAACACATTAGTGCTGTATTGTCTTGAACAGTTAAGTCGTTTTTCTTGTAGAGTTTTATTAAATTATTTCCTGGGTTTATTCCTAGTACTGAATGGAGGTGAGATTTACTCCTTTGTGTGCTTATTTTAAGGGCTAAATTAAATAGGTTTAAATACAATATAGCAGGGAGAAACAGATAGTAGTAGTTGCTATGGGTGGTAGCTTACTTTTTTCAATGCTGTTTTGCAAAACATCACAGTTACTGGCAAACAGTGATGTACCAGTTTAGTCAAATATCATTATTTTAATCTTTAAAGAAAAAAAAAATCTTCATTTGCAGTCAGTTTTTCAAGTGCATCCAACAATAAGTTCCCTGTTACTAAAAGTAAGAAGTAATTTCTGCTTGACATAGTGGACATAGTTCTGAATTCAGAAGAGCATGCTGTTTTATTTTTGGCATCCTAATACTTGACTTTGGAGAGGAAGGGGGGGGGGAAAGCAACTCTGTGATTTCTTCACTGTGTTTACTTGTCTTGGATAAAGAGTAGAGAAGGACTTACGTGGAGTAGACCTCTTTCTTCATAGGTTAAATTTTCTTTACCTTTTTTCCCCTGTACTATATGTTAATACAAGACAGAGTGAAACATGCATTATCTCCAAGTATTGATAGTATTAAACTGTATTGTACTTGGGAAGGAAAAGGGAGAAGTCTCCTCTGCCTTAAAACTTTCCTCTCTGCATTCCTGTGGAGAGTGTGAATCTGGAGTACAGTGGAAATAAATGTCAGCTGGGGCAAAGTCATAACATGGAGCTTCAGAGTTACTCTGTCTAAATTCCCTCAGTTATCATACTCTCAGAGACAAAGAACTCCTTGGCTGCTGTTTTCCTGTGTATCTTTTCCTTTCATAGAATTGGAACAATTAAGTATAACTTCAATTGTGAATTTTATAGGTAAAATAGGTGGTTAATAGCCTGGTAATTGAAGATGTTAGCAGTTTAACATGAGATAGGATACCAGGGGCAACACTGGAAGTAACTGAGAATTGTGGAACAAGAACATTCACTGGCATGCTGAAGAGATAACAAATTAGACAGCACTCTGTTTAGAGTTCCAGTGACGGTAACAGGGCAGTTCTTTCTTGATGATAATGTGTTTCTTTTTCTGTGTCTATATATATTTATGATTTTTGCCTCAGAGAGTGAATATCCAGCACACTCACAGATTTTGTTGGCTGGCAGAGTTCAGTGGGTGCATGTCTCCTGCAAGGGATAGTAAGTTTCTAGATCTGTAGTGCAGATGCCAAGAATTCCAACAGAGATGGTCAAAGAAGAATCCAATGTCAAGCAATTTCATATGCATTTCATATGAGGATCATCAGCTGTAGCTGATGTAAATAGGAGGCCAACAAAAATCAGCAATGGCAACAGCAAAAAAAACAGGAGCCTTGAAGCAATAGGATGATCTTTGTATCTTCAACACGTATTTTACTTCTTGCACCTAAAGAGGTTTTCTGTTCAACTTTTATACATTGCTTTCTCCAGCTAGTTGTGAAACTCATTTATACCCTGAAATTATATGTGCCCCTTTAAGCTCAAGCTTTATGCTCCTCTTCAACAGTACTTCAGGGATAAAAAAAGAGTATGATTAGAAAAACCCTTTATGTCCTGGCAAGCATGGTACCAGAAACAAGTTTTGCCTGCCGAGTTTCTCTTCCTTCTGTGTTTCTGCTTAGTTTACCCTCTGTTACTTTCAGTATTACAGTTTTCCTTTTAGTTCCAGTTAACTCCAGGAACCCTGTGGCTACTGCATATTTAGCAGCTCTTCCAGTTCAATATCATTCTTCTCATTAGTGCTCCAAGCTTACTCTCATGATACCCAGATTACATCCAGGAAAACATAGTGTCACACTGTCAGCACAATCTGTAACATTCTTCATGTTTTGTGTGCCAAATCTCTCGTTAGTACTGGCATTACATTTTTAATATCTTTGTCTGGCAAAACATGACCTGGCACCAATTCAATGTTAGGACTCACCCGCTTTGCATTTCAGGTACAGCCTTTATCCTACCTTCCAGGAGAATGCCTGTGCATCCTGTGATGAACTCACTGCTTTGGAAATTCTTTTTTGCTGTGATAAAAGAACAGTATTTCTAGCTCTTTCAAACAGCTCAACGTCGATAATCTACTAGATTTTTCTCAGTCTTTTTGAGGACAAAGCAGCTAAAGACAAGATACAATGGTAGTTCTTAATCCATAGGGGAATTTAATGAAAGGAAGAAGGAAGGTAGTAAGTTTTTATTTCTAACTGTTCTGACTGAATAATTTTTCTGACAAAAAAAGGGAGTAGTTTCTGTATTGTTAGGCAAAAGAAATACTTAGGCTAGTGAAGGAGCAATGACATTTAAATTCAAGTACCGCCATATACCTTATGTCTTTCAACCAAGGCTTATTTTCTAAATCAATTGTTTCAGTAACCAGGCGGGAAGAACCATTAATTACTCAATTTACCTCAACATTTATTAATAAAATGGATGTTTTGACCAAAGTTGTCATGGACAAAAGGGATGGAATTGTTAGAAAACAGTGTTTATAAATGCAAAGGAATATGTGTTTCTATCTGCTGCATTTGACTCAGTCACCTGACTTCACTTACTAGAGAGTTATTTATGCCATTGCGAGATCCCACTGCAAGAACAAATATGGTTTCATTTATCTTTTTATGTTTAGTCAAATGTATCAAAAAAAAAAAAATTATCAGCAGAATCAATAGGCAAAAGAGCTTGTGACTCCATGTTAAATCCTGTAAAGGAACCCACAGCGTGACTAACATTGTCTGATGAGAAAATATTTCACAGGTCTTTCAATAAATAATCTCCTGACTTGCCACCTTCTAGAGGGAGAATCATAATTAAAGGTGCTGAAGGCAGGAAAAATTTGGATCAGATTTTGTATATTGATTACATGACATGCTGGCCAGGAATTGTGTTTTCCATGAGTCTGGGAACTCCCAGTTCAGGTCATCATATCTGACAGCACTATGCCTCAGCAAGAGACCTTGGGTGCTTGAAATCATCTAAACACTTTTAGGAGTAGACTTAAAATGTATTGTTTTCCTCATACTAAAAAGTCTTTAGTTGTTTTCTTGAGAAATGTTATGTGCTTTTGACCACAATTTAAATTTACGTTTCTTAACATCAGAGACCTTTGCAAAATTGACACATTTTACCGTAGGTTTTCTGTGTTTGTTTTGTTGGGGGGTTTTTATAATGGCTACAAATGCAGCATAAATTATTGTCTTACCCATGTCATCAATTGTGAAGTCTTATGGAAGTCAATGGAATTATCTTGTACCATCAACTTCAGCATGATCAGGACTATTTCTAGCATTCCACACCCAAGCAGCCTTCAATGTGATTTCAAATCCATGCACCAACTAAAACTATAGCTTGGAAAAAACAATCCAATGAGCTTTTGTTCTTACTCCCAAATATGTAGTCCCTCAATATTCTTTCTCCCGCTCTCTCTCATAGATGGTACATTGCATAATGTGAATACGTCCTTTTTGTTGTGTAAAAAGTTAAATTGTCATCCTACCAATTCACATTTTTAAAAGCTCTTTAATATGTTTTATAGTAATTTTTCGTAAAAGATGTGGCTAGCACAGAATTGCTAATGTGTGGAAGAATACAGATCTTACCAGGTGCACTTCAGATTGAGTTTGTGTGTGACTGTCGTTCATTAATAAAAGGATTATCCCTAAAGAATGGTATGTCAGAAGTGAGAGATGAGATCAAAGATTACACTAAACAAATTCTGTTAACATTTCTCTACTGTAACTTACCACAGCCATGTAATTTATGGGCCATTTTGGTAATAGTGTCCAACAGTAGAACAGTCTCCTTCAGAATGTGATAAATGGCTTTTTTACTGTCTCTTCTTTATGAAGAGAGAGAGTCTTTTCTTTTTTCCAGGAAAACTTCTAACATTACAAATCTTGTCTTTCCGCCATTAATAAATTATGTTAGTCACCTCAAATGCATGCTAAATAAAGCTGTTATGCCATGGCACTGTACCCAATATACTTGACTGTACTTTAGCAAATCAAAACCAGTCCTCATCAGGAATGTGCATTGTAAATTATATTTTGTGTTTACCCAGTAAATGTTCATTGGCGGTAGCAGATTTTTTGATCTGAGAACATTTAAGAGAAAGAAAAGATAGGATGCAACGATCAAAACTACAAAAATAGAAAGCCTTTGTACCTTACAGAGGTATGCATCCATGAAATAGTTCTTATATGATGTCAGTGGCAAGGTAGAGGCTTGTGTTAGCAGGTTCCTTTCACTGCATATTTCATGTCTAAAGCTCTGTCATAGATTTTGGCGTATTATGATACTGATGTGGGACTACTGGAACTGTGCACGTGCATGCGCTCTCTCAAAGCCACTGTTTGTGTGTCTGTCTTGTTGTTTGGCTCATTTATTACTTAATAAGGTCTATTCTGCAGTTAGCATGTGCAGAAGGCAAATATATAGGCTTGTATGGTGACGGAAATTAGCATGCAGTCTTAATATTTCTTTTAACATGTTTCTTCTTGATAGTATATTGGTGGGTTTTGTAACTAAATTGTTGAGTAAAGATCATTAAATGTATACGCTGTCAGTGACAAAGTAGGTAGACTGAACTTGAACAGGCCATACTATGATTTTCTTCCCAATCACTGCTATAAAGAAGATGGGAATGATTCAAACCCTTGTTTTGGGAGGCGGAGAGCATGCCCATGCCTTCCAATGACCTTCTGGGCCCCTCCTGCCTCTCAGCAGTCTGGAGGTAGGCTCTGTAATGGATCTTCAAGCTCTATAGGCTTATGATTTATGTCAATAACAAGTTATACAAACTCTGAGTTTATTTAAATTTTCAGAATATATTGTTAATATGACCAAAAATATGAGACATTTAAAGGATTTTAGAGACAGATTTTGGTGTTTTCTCATAAAATATAACTGAACATTAAATAAGTGAATTATACACTTGTTCACGCTGTTAGATAAGAACTATGATTTTAAATTATGGAAAGGAGGTGCTTCTTAATAAGCATGCTTCTAAATAAGCATGGTGCAAAAGTAGCTCAAATGCTTCAGTGTCCCCTGCTGAAATTCACAGGATGGCTTCTGCGCATTTTTGTGGGGTTTACAAAATAGAATACTGTGCCCACTTCTGGAAAAATACTGCGGTTAGAAATGCCAACATATATGCATTTAGGAAAATTATTAACAACAACAAAAAAAAAAGTTTAGAGGTGGTTCTGTCATTATTTCTTTTTCCTTAAAATTTTTTAAACTTGTACTGCCTCTTCTTATTCACATCATCTAGCACTCATCAGTTGCTGAATTTTAGCTTATCTCACTTTTAGTTTAAAAAAAATCTCAGTCATTTTTTGTACTGCTGACCCTTTGATATTAATGCAAAATACCTTAAGTAAATGTTGAAAAACAGCATGCTTACATATAGATGTTGATGGCATGGAACTGGTGTGTTTCAGAAAATGTGGTTCATATACCTTATGTTATTTATTATTAATTGGGGTTTGTTTTTTAAGTATTTGATTAAGTCTGCTTAGTGATATACTCTGATATTTTTATAGAGTGAGAGTGGTTATTGCTTGGGCTACAGAAAGAATCAAGTGTAAAGAGAAGAATCATAGAATCATAGAATTGTTTAGGTTGGAAAAGACCTCTGAGATCATCTAGTCCAACCGTTAACCTAACACTGCCATCCCACCACTGAACCATGTCCCTAAGCACTCATCTACCCGTCTTTTAAATACCTCCAGGGATGGGGACAGAACCACTTCCCTGGGCAGAACTGAGGGTGACAGGGAAGATTTTTAGCACATTGTGATCAGTGGCCAGACGCACCTGATTCTCAGTGAAGAGTCCAAGAACACCATTTAACATCTATGACAGT